CTGTTTAAATCAACCTTTTGAGCACGTCTTATATTCGTGATCATTTAACCTGATTGAATGACAGGCATTCTTCCCTTTGCACCCAGTAGAGCTTAATTGGCGAACCTTTTCTACTCTACCATTATTATAATAATAATATTGTACCACATTCACACAACGCCATCTAGTCTTGAACTAAGCAGAGCTTGTACTATGTCTACTAGACAACTGATATAAATACATATATACTTTTTCTTTGTAAGTACATCCTTATTATACATAGAAATACCCTGACCAAATCAAACATTACATGTTCATGCATACAGTTTGCTTTTAGCGGGAATCGAACCCGCGACCTTTGGGAAAAAAAATGTTATTGACATACTTTTTTTATTCATGAAAGCTTGGCAGATAGATACCTTCTAAGAAATAATTTTCATAGTTGGGTGCATATTAATAAACAGGCACCAGTCACCGTAGCCGAAACCGGCAAGGGGAGGATATCGGAATTGATTCATTCTACATTCTTTATCTTACAGCATAAAATATTTAATCTTTTTAATCAAGGAATTGTCACGCGTGCGTTAATAAGTCAGTAAGGGACATGGCAGGTGTACATGTGTCATATAAAAAGAAGAAACTATGAAAATATAACATTAATTTGAAAATACTATTTAAAATACAAAGACGAATACATAAATAACTATTAATATATTATACACTAGCTGAGACCCGCGGTGTTACGCGCGTTTGTTGTTATAACCGCGGGCAACGCCGCGGGGCGAAGCTAGTCTAAAAAAAGTAGCCTAAGTTAATGTCATCAGCTATCTGCCAGTGAAAGTCCCGTTGAAATCTGTCCAGCCGTTCTAGAGATTACCCGAAACAAACAGACAGACAGACAGACAAAAATTGAAAAAAATGTTATTTTGGCATATGTATCGTGTAAACATACATATGCATTTAGTAAAAAGCGGTTATTTTAATATTACAAACAGACACTCCAATTTTATTTATTTGTATAGATATGGAATGAAATAAATACAATAATGTCTGAAGTGACGAAATCATGAGGATATTTCTGGTAGCTGTTTCCTGTAGAATTCTTGGACTTTAGCATATTGAACTTGTATTTATGGGGTCAACTGGATGGTCATCTATTAACAGGGTACGGAGCTGCTGTAGATGTCTTTTTTTCGTTGTAAAGACAAACACCGCATTAGAAATATATTCTGTGTCGCGGTGGACTTGACAAACGGACACAAAGAACACCCAGACTCGGAAAAACCATTTGTGGATCACACAAGTGTCGTCCCATGTGGGGTTCGAACCCACAACACTCAGCGCAATAGGAAGCGGCGTAGTGACCGCTTTAACCAATACGCCATCAGTCAACAACAAGAAAATTGATAAGAAATTCGTAATTTGTGGGAGATCTGGAGTCCAAACTAAGGAACTAAACAAAGGCCTTTACTATAAATTATATTTTATTTATTTAAAAAAGGCCGGTATTATAGATATCGTTTTCATGTATATCCCGTACGTTTTAAACCATAATTTTCACTAAAAACAAGCTTTTTTTTGAAATAACTCACAAAAGAAAATTATCCTCTAATTATTATCGTGTAATTTGCGTATATAATCACTGTCCCGCTCCTAAAGGTCGTAGCGTAATGTTTTATAGCCTATTTCTAATAATTTAATAATTCTTAAAATCGCATGGATAGTTCTAGAGATAAGAACGTTTTAACAAACACTCAAAAATCTCTTCTATATTAGTATTGAAGCATAGACTGTGACTTATTCATTCATTCATCTGTCTACCGCCATCTTGTTTTCTATTATTCTATGGCACGAATATTGACTTAGTTCAAATAAAGACACAACAATTTGCAAATCTGTATATTTCCTGGTTTATATCAATCGTTTTGTTCCTGTTACTTCGATATACATACATACACTTAGGTACATAATCATACATTGTGAACTAAAATAACTATTCTATACCATATTACAATTACATAGGAATACAAATGGAACGTCTGTCAGCGTTGGCTGTCACTTTGACAGTTGACATCGGCACCTAACGTCACTAAGAAGAATATAAGACTATTCAGATGTGGCACTTTACTTTCGGCTTAAAGAGTATTCATTTTAAATGACTCGGAACAGCTGGAGGTAGAAGTGGAGGGGGGAAATCCCTCTCTTCCGAATTCTGAGGGCGTTCAAAAGGCGGTCCATAGGCGGCGGTATTCACTTACCATCTGGTGACCCGCTCATCGACCCTCACAGACATCTCCTTAAAACTAATATACTAGAGAAACCAGAGATGTTCTAGCACAACCAGAGATGGATAGAAATAAGATCATAAACGAATTTAAAAGACCACATCTGACAGTTAAAATAGTATATTTCTATTCACCTAAGGGGTTTCAGTAAGGGACATCTGGAAGGAAAAATTAAGTTACAACGAGACCTCTTATTATAACTGCTCTGGATGCTATTAGTGGCTCAGCATTGAGTGGACATAGAAATGGCAGAACAGTTCATACTGGGCCTTGCTGACCACGCGAATAATGAACACTCGGCTACCGTCCAAAATTTGCCTGTAGTTTTGTGTAGCAAGCCTTTCTATATTAGTCTCACTCACCGAGAGCGAAAGAGACAACATACTTCCATAACCTTACTTTATCTTCACAAGAAACGCCTCTAGAAGTAAAGCCAAATATCCATCAATGGCAGGTTAACAGCCAAATACAATAAAAAATAAATCGTGGAGATTTAAAAATATCAGACTTTGTTGCATACAAAACTTAGAATTACACTACATTGTTTTAACTATTCGACTGCCAGGTATATTGCTGCCATGCTGGCGGGTGAGGAGAGATGGGGTGCAGTGGTCTCTTTCTGTGAAACTGCAATGCTCCAGAAAGAGACCGCTGAGCGGGATCGGGAAAGGGCCGATCCTGATAGTGGACGTCGGCGACGATACCAGCCGTCGACGGGGCCGCGGGCCGCCAGAGAGAAAAAAAAAGGTACTAGGCTTGTGACGTCATCGTACACCGTTGGCTTTCCGTCAACGGTTCCGAGATAGTTCAAGGATCTGTTAATAGATGGCGCTAGATAGACATATACAGGGCAGTCGAAAGGTAAAACCGTAACATAGAAGACATTACAACACCGGCTAGTCCCGCGAAGCAACATTTTAACGACATCCATTCCAGTGCGAACAATCACAATTGTATGTCATGTTCATTGAAACAGTATTTATTTGTTTTTATTATTTCTGTATCATATTCGCGGCAAAATGACACTTTTATAACAAAATGAGGCTAGATGCTACCTACACCAGTGTGTACTAGGAGGATGTCAGATATTTTAGGCAACGAAAATTTGCTCTTTATACAGATATCGCAGCCCGTCGCGTCTGACTTAACAGTACAGAGAGCCTAGTGTAAGTTTATTACACTTCTACTCGATCGTCACGGTAACTGCGTTCAGCATTGCGATTGGCCAGCACTGAAACCTTCACCAATCACAATGCCAAACGCAATCACCGTCGAAAGCTCACACTAAGCCCTTTGAACAAAGAAAACAATGCATTTTTATGAAATACTTACGTGATTACCAGTTGTTGTACCAGAGATTATCAGTGGTAAAACCTTTTATTTTAAGTGTGAAACAATTTAAAGCCATATCTTATGTCTGTCGGTTAGTTTCACAATTTATTGAGATGTCAGATTAAAACTTAATCCCTATTATAAATGCGAAAGTAACTCCGTCTGTCTGTCTTATTTAAATATTCGTTTTATCTCTAGGTATTTATTTAAATAAAAAAAAACTGTTTCATTGAACATGCTACTAGGTATACCCCTCAACGCATTACACAATACAGTTAGCACTTATCACATACAAATAAATACAAAACTTACGCTACCATCCATGCCGTGCCGGTGTGGGTGACACATTGCTGTGTCAGAACATTTTGTCTGATCTGACACGTGCCAGTCACATATACGAATCATATGCGTGACGCAGATGAATTTTGACACGTGTCGGACAAAGACTCGTATTGTTTGTCTGTGCACCCTACACGTGTAATTGCAAAGATGCGTACAAAACAACACTAAGCACTAAGCGTTTAATATAAGTTACAACAATTGTTTAAAAAATATTATGGAATTCTGTTTGTAAATAACAAAAATGTCTAAGATTTAAGTTTTAGGAGACATTACTGCATTGCAATCGATAAAAAAATATTTATATAAGGCAAGCGGCTTTACTCCCGTGTGGTCATCCCCTGACAGGTCGCCGTTGAAACAGGACGCCCGTTGGGTTTCAACTAGTCGGGAATCCCCTACATACACGCGTTAGTAATTCCGTTTATCTTTTATTATAAATATAGAAACTACTTATGAAAGTATGTTTTTTTATTTAAATAATTATAATGTATCTCATAAAAGATCCCTTACAAACAGTATTCGATAAATGCGAGCACCAAACTGGGCGAAATATATTAAAATGTACAATAGCCTGCTTACACTCTAAACACGTGCCGCGACACGCAAATATCAACTACAACATCAGTGTGATAGAGTACATTATGACATTTACAAGACGAGTGTCCCGATAGAGTCGATGCATTTGACGGCTGTAATATACTCGATATACCATTTATACTTTATATCTATCATTGCATTATTTGGCAAACCAGATTTTATTAAAAAATCTATAAATACATGTGTATTAAAATTTGTGGCTCTAATTTATACATAGTACAGCGATCATATGAAAATGTTGTGTTTGTGTCCACGAGCAGACATCTGTGGACGCGTGGCACTGCCCAGGCGTCATTGTCAGCCTCCGACTGTTCGACACCAATGGACAACGTCAACCTTTACGAAATACTAGAAACGGTGGAATTAACATAGCCGATAGTATTTACACTGATCGTCCATAAGTCCGGCTAACAGTTCGCGAGGCTGGCGGGAGAATGAACGTGTGGAGCGAATGTAGTCCAAGGTTTACAAAATGCTGCACTTCATTTTCTTGCCCTTTTTTTTCTTCACGTCCCCGTTGGTGGCGCGGCTGTCGTCGGACTTGCGCGACCGGATCTCCCGCATCAGGTCAAAGAACACCTGCACACCACACCGAGTCAACCATGACAAACAACACAGAAGCCCATCACCACCACAAGATTTAGAAAAAAAATTGTCTGATATTTTTCTATGGTAACTTGGATTTGGTACTTATTCTCGATACTTGTACTTAGTACTTCATCCGTAGTATTTATACTTGATACTTTTAATCGAATATTATTGCCTAATATATTTTCCTTTGAATATAGAGTTGCGTTTCGCACTGCCTTAGGTAAAAAAAATATTATACTTATGTTGATTAACCATGTATCAGAAAAATATAGTTATCACCAAAACGATTGTTTTATATTAATACTATAAAAACCGTATTCTTACACATTCTTTATAGTATTTACTAAATTTCTAGTATGTAGCTGATGTTAGATTTCAAAATAATTAAATTAATGGCCGAGAATTCAAACTCTAGTGACTTTTAAAATGTTTTTTAAACTTGCTTTTGGAACTGTGTATGTCGTTGAAAAAATCCTGCTACTGACAAATCGCACAGAGTAAAAAAATACTGCAGTAGCTCATCAGTTACAAATGTTGCTCAGTATATTTGTCGAAAAAGAATAATAATAAATGGTCTGTCTTAAATGTACCTAAATGTATTTTGTGTATATATGTGTAAAGTATATAAAAAAGCTTAGGCAGATGCGGCAACGCAACTCTAGAAAAGCCATCCCGAGCAGCACTCAGCATTAAACAAATAGTTATAAGCGTGTGCTAAGCTCAGGCTGGGCTTCGGTGGAGGGGGTTTGACTTACTAAAAAGTACATTTTTCTAACTAATCTATGAAATATTGTTAATATAAGCCGTGCCTAATCAAGGATCGGTAAAATCTTAATGGTTAGGAAGAATGGACTCTTCTTCTAAACAATACCCGTTCAAATATTTTTATATCAAAGAATAATGGTTGTCTATAATCTATTGATGTTACCCGACCCTGGGCTAGCCACGGCGTGTGGGAGCAAGTATGGGGGAGGGAGGCGGTACCTTGTCCACGTTGTCCCTGGTCTTGGCGCTGGTCTCTACGTAGGGCACCTGCCAGTGCTGCGCGCGCTCGCGGCACGTGTCCAGCGGCACGCGGCGCTTGTCGGCCAGGTCCGACTTGTTGCCCACCAGCAGGAACGGGATGTTCTCGTCGTTCTTCACGCGGAGGATCTGCTCCCTGGAACATTTGTTCTTCAATCAAATTGGATGAATTTCAGAGATATATTTTTTTTTTTTGTCAGGAAAAGCACATGGGCTAGTCTTTATCCCGGAAACATGGATTAGCAGAATCTTCATTAACGCGAGCGTAACCGCAGCCAAAACCTAGTTAAAAATGAATAAACCATAATATATATATTTTTTTGGCTTTACAAATATTGATGTTTATTAGGGTATAATATAAATAAAAGTAATACGATAAAATTATTTTTAAAAGCAAATCCCCAAAATTCGGTAGTTTGGTGAGACACCTCCAGTTTTCATTACTTCTAGAGAATTCACGTGTATATACTATATTTGGTGACAGCCGTTTACCTGAATTCTTGCGTAGCATCGAAGCTTTCTGGTTCAGTGATAGAGAACACACAGAGGAACCCCTCCCCAGATCTGAAGTAATTGTCTCGGATGGCCGCGTAGTCCTCCTGACCCGCCGTGTCCAGGATGTCGATCTGTACCTCCTCGCCGTCTAACACGACCTGCAGTGGATGAACAAGTTATTAAAAATATTTCTGGAATTCCTTACCTGCCTGTGGTGCAGGCAATTCATCACCTCTTCAACCTCAAGCAGTTTTGCTATCTTGACATCTGTCGAAAGTCTGTGGACGGTTGTTGTATCCTTTGGACACAAAGAAAATATGTTGGGAAGTTGTATATTTATACTAATCAGCCGTGAACTCTCATACCGCGATGCAGAATCAGAACTTACTCCGTAGTTCGGTGTGACTCCGTAGTTGTGTATGTGGCATTCGCTATAAACTTCATGCCCGACGCTTTTATCTATTAGTGGGTAGGGAGGGACCGGTCTCCGGTAACCGTACTCACCGTGGTATCACTCTAGTCGAGCCGGGTAAAAGCCGTATAAAGGTTTACTAAGTTTGAATGTTGCGCCATTAAATTATTAACCACCTTGCCAACTGAATAGAATGCGAATATGTTGTATCATATGTATTTCTTAGATCTGAACTTAAGTGCAATATATCGTGCTTGTACATTTACATATAAGCACCTAGTGTCTGCGCTCATGCGCATTTAAAGTCTATTTCACGAAAGAAGTCCCGCGGACAATTGTGGAACTAAATTTGGCAGATGGGGAGATCGGTCATGTTGTCGTTTGTCGATGTTATCAAGGAGCATGTTGTGGTAGATATTTTGTGAGTTTATTATTGGATTAGTGCGTTATAAGGTTTATTTACGATGCCAAATGTTGTAAAAAGTGCAGGTCGCAAAATGATATTAAAGGTGAAGGAGTTCTGTGAAGCGGAACACAAGAATCACGGTGTTTTAATACCAATAAACAATGTTCGCAAGAGAGTCGCCGCCATGACAGGTAAATTTTGGGGCTGCCATATACAGATTTTTTCCCCCGATTGATTTTTTACAGATTGGAATTAAGTTTTGTTAATGCATGATTTTTATTAAGGAAAATTTTAAAAGGAATTAACACAACACAACAAAAAATTGTAAAGTTATTTTCAACAATAATGTAATTAAATACGAAAATAATAATTCAAAGTTGTTCATTTTATTGCAGGTGTGTCAGAGAAAACTGTAACGAGAATTACAGAAGAAGGCGCAACAGCGGCGAGTACTTCTAAAGTTATCGTCACCCCAGGGAAGAGTCGCCCGCATACCAAAAAGTTCGACTTGGATGGATTTGATTTGTGCGCTATACGGCAAAAAAGTCACAGTTTTTATGTTGTGAGGAAGGAATTACCAACATTGGCTAAATTACGTGCAGCTTTGAGAGAAGACATACATTTTCAAGGAAGCATCACAACATTGCACCGTATATTGCAAAGTATCGGTTTCAAGTACAAGCGATGCCAATCGAAACGCAAATTACTTATGGAACGTTATGATATTATCGCATGGCGTTCAAGATATTTGGAGAGAATCCAAAGAAATCGCAATTTGGAGAAAAAACCTGTAGTGTATTTAGACGAGACCTATTTACATAACACTTATCATGCCAAAAGTTGCTGGCAAAGGGAGAAAGAGCCTGGGATGTTTGTGTCAGAGTCATCAGGGAATCGTTGGATAATTGCTCATGCGCGAACTGAAAATGGTTTTGTTAATGGTGCATTGTTAATGTTCAAATCCCGATCCAAATCCTCAGATTACCACAATGACATGAACTCAACTAATTTTTTGAAATGGATGAGTGAAAAAGTCATTCCTAACCTACCTGAAAGGTCACTTGTGGTAATGGACAACGCTCCATATCACTGCACTCAAATAAATAAAGCACCTACAATGTCAAGTATTAAACGTGACATGCAGGAATGGCTGCGAGAAAAGGCAGTATATTTTGAAGATACTTGGACAAAAGCTATATTATTTGAATTAATTAAACAAAACAAAGGTCCACCTATATATGCCGTGGATGCATTATTAAAATCTCACAATCATGAATTGCTAAAATTGCCGCCTTATCACTGCGATCTCAATCCGATCGAAAAAATGTGGAGCCTTGTAAAAAGACGGGTAGCGGATAAAAACGTGGGCCAAGATCCAAAAGAAATTGTACGCCTAACAGAAGAGGCTTTTGAGACTGTTAGCATTTGGAGGAAGAATATTTAAAAAATGATGGTCTTATGGATCAAGAATTGTATCGATTTATTATATCCACGGCTAGTGATAGTGAAACAGAATCTGATTCTGTTTCTATTCACTCTTCTGACAGTGATCATAGTATGACCGATCATAATTATTCAATAAAACTTTGAATAAAACTTTTAAATGTAATTTTATTTTTCTAATTTAAAGTTGGTCGAACATCTCCTTTTTATATTTTAGAAATTACAGAAGATTTATTTTTCACTAAACTCACCTCAGCAGTATTTACATCAAACAGGTACCTATATTAACAATACATTATATTAAAAATATTTTTTTTCTTATGTAAATATTCGAGTCGTAATAGTTAATAAAATAAAAGTGAACGATAAATTATTTCCCCTGATTTCCCCATATTTAACCCTGGCAACATTATGTCGCGCGAATGCAGCGCTGCGTCTGCGGGACTTCTTTCGTGAAATGGACTTTACAGTAATGTTCTGATTTGTTTCATTCAAATTTCCTCTTATTAATCCGTGAACAGTGGTATGGGTTATGTGTTTATACCTCTGTAATATATTTATATACAGTTTTAAGACTTTAACATGTAACTGTTTTTTGTTATTTTTATTGTTATAGTTGCTTAGTCAAAAAATGTATCTTGTTGTATTGTGTATCTTTAGTTAGTTAGCTTTCCAGTATGCAATTAAGCCAGATCTACATAGTTTATCTATACAAATAAATTGAAATGTCTGTTTGTAACGTGACAGCACGGATGGCGCAGCGGTTCAAGCGGTCGCCACGCCTCTTCCTACTACGCTGATGGGTTCGATCATCATACGGGACGACACGTTGTGTGATCCACAAATTTTCGTTCTAAGTCTGGGTGTTCTTTGTCTCTATTTAATGTATGTTTGTAAAGTCCCCCGCAACACAGGATTTCTTCCAAGTGTGGGTGTTGTCTTTAAAAACAAAAAACAAAAAAATGGGTTTTTTTTCATGCTCACACGGTTATTTGCACGATACCTATGCCTGAAGACTAGTGTTTTTCTAGGTAATCTTCAAAACGGCTGGACCGATTATGATAATATTTTACTACTAAAAAACTAAATACTAAATCTCAAAAAAGAGTAATAAGAGCGATGTTTGGACTACAAACACTTGACAGCTGTAGACCATTTTTTAGAGACAACAGTATCTTGACTGTTCCGGCACTTTATAAACAGGAACAGACGAGATAATGATAGGGTATGCATGCGAAGGGCTCAAACTGCACTAATGAGCAAGAGTATTTTTTGCATGGCACCTAGAATTTACAACAGAATACCTGGGGCCATAAGAGAACTCCATCTACATTTATTTAAAGTTCACTTACAATATCTCATTAATAAATGTTTTTACACGATTGATGATTTCTTTAAATGACCGTGATACTAGTGTGCTTTGACGGTGACATTTCCATATTATTTATAATTTGACTTAACACCTTTATTTGACCACTTATTGTTATTGTAATTGCCTGATATTTGACCAATAAAACTGATTGTCATTAATTTATGTATTGCATGTTCTGTAGGTATCAGTTTCTGACGAAAAGTTTTGCACGCCTACCCGGCAGGATATGATGAACCTTTGTTAATTGAATTGTCCAACCCTGTACTCATATTCATGCAAATAAATGATTATTATTATTATTATTATTACCAGGTAGCTGTCTATATAACGAGTAATTTAGGCTTTGAATCAAACCCTAGGCCTCATGGATTGCAGTCGCGTACCGTATTACACCACTAAGGCAGCGAAGTCGTGGGTACCAGCTAGTTACACACATAATTCATGCTAGGTAGTGTATAACAGCTAATATAAAACTCTTACTTATGTAATAGCATTACAGCAAATTAATGAAGCACTGCCAATATAATTGCAACAATTTCATTGTGATTTATGTATCACGCATACACGATCTGCACGGATCGGCGATAATTTTGTTTGATTCATCGTCCATGTACACTTTCGTTTAAATCATGATGACATGCTGTTTCCAAATAAATAACTTTTATTTTTATATAAATAGAGAAAAGTAATAAAACAGACTATCATTTAATAAAAAAAAATTTTTGACGTATTGCGACTGGTTATAAAGATACTGTCACGAACCAATAATGGCGGGAAATAAGGAAAAGGTCAAAAGTTTTTTTGTGTGAAAGGTTTATTGAGAGTAGATTAGTAGAGGAGTTAGTGTAAATATAGAAGCTAGTAGTGGGTTGTTGTTTCTGCGTCCTCCCATGGTTGAAAGGAAAGGAAATAGAAAATTTAAATCAATTGAAGAATACTTTACAAAAGCACCTGATAGACAAATGTTCATCATCAACAGCCTTTAATAGTCCACTGCTGGACATAAGCCTCTCCTGAGAAAGGAGGTTTTGGCCTACTATACCACGCTGGCCAGACGGGTTGGTAAAGGGTTTGTGTCAAGTTTTCCTTCTCTCTGCAGTGCTGTTGTCCTGCTTAGTTTTTTCCCTTAGTCGGCTCTTACGACACCCACGGGATGAATAGGGGTGGTGACACTCTGTATTCTTAATCCGTCACCACACGGACTTATACCACGCTTCTTAATCCGTCACCACACGGACTGACAAATGTTACTATAGCATAGATCTATAAGATTAACTGGTGTGCGCACATATGTAAGTCTAGTGGATATGTCATATGACTGATCCGATCCCAAGACCATGTCGTAGGGCTTGCAGACAGCGCATATACTCCTTCACAACTTTGGAGTTGTGAAGGAGTTTATGCGCTGTCTGCAAGGAAGAAGGAGTTTATGTATGTTTGTGTTTGTAGTGAGATTGGTCTCACTACAAACACAAACATACATAAACACAAACACACACACCCTGTTTTTGTTAATGTTACAATTATTACTACTCCCGCTCGTTTCTTTCACAAAGGTATTTTGAAATGTCAAGACGAGGTCCGAGTGGGGACCTGGTGTCCTGTAACACAGGTTTTTATACCTACCTCAGGTACCAGCTATCCACTACCGAAATTGTCAAATGTTATAGCGTAATCGTATTTTCATTGTATGCATTTTGGTTTTTGTGTATCTAATGTAATACCCTTAAACGAGCAATTTATATTTATATATATATATAAAATATGAATCTCGGATAGGACGCCAACTATTTCATGAAATTTAGTGTGCAGGGCGTTTCGGGGGCGATTAATCGATTTAGCTAGGTTCCATTTTTAGAAAAAGTACAAAAAAAATAACGAGCATATAGAGCATATATAGAGCATAGCATATGTTTCTGAAAAGTTCTACTAAATTGATGATAATAAAATGATTTGAAATACGAGGGCTGCTATTTTTGTATCCGGAATTACAAAGTGAAACTAAGATATAGTCTTTATTATAGTTTTATTGCTTTTGAAAATATTAGCCGTGATGATCGATGCATTTTTGAATACGTATGAACCAATTTTCGTAGCAATTTTTCCATTCTCACGAGTTAAATCCATAGTGATAAAGACACGCAACTTTATAAATGACGCCACAAAGGATAAACAAATGATAGCTACATGAAACAAATTGTATCCTTCAAAGAGTTTTATTTTTAAATGTTATAATTACTTTTTAATATTATTCTGTAACCGTCCAGTTCCGGATGCATACATAGCAGCCCTCGTATAACTCAGATGTAATTGTAATCTATTTAATTAAATAATGTAATAACATATAAGTAATGAATTATTTTGATTACATTTTAATTAATTATATCAGTAATATTTTACTTTGTTTTGTTGTTGTTAACTTTAATCGTCTATTAATAAATAATTAATTCTATATAATTATTCAGTTAAATGCATAGTGCTTTAAATGTAACTATAATGTAATATAACTGTTAAAAGAGCTGTGCCCAAACAGGATCCATAATGATACTAATACTAAGCTACCATCTTATTTAAGACTTTGGAATTGCAAAACAAGAATACTGAATACTGAAAGGCGCAAGTATAAATAAATATTTCGGACATCTAACACACAACGCCATCTAGTTTCAAACTAAGCAGAGCTTGTACTATTAAAGATAGATTGACTGATAGAACACTTATATATAAATATATGTTTTTTGTAAATACATACATCACATCACATCACACATCAACAGCCTTTAATAGTCCACTGCTGGACATAGGCCTCTCCTTAGAAAGGAGGTTTTGGCCTACTATACCACGCTGGCCAGACGGGTTGGTATAGGGTTTGTATCAAGTTTTCCTTCTTTTTGCAGACATAACTTCATACATAATACATAACTATACATATATCAGACATAACTTTTGCAGACAGACTTCTTTTTGCAGACAAATACATACATATTATACATAAAAAACACACAAACTCCGAAACGAATATTTGCAGATCATACAAACATTTGGTCCGACCCGGGAATCGAACCCGAGACCTCAGCACAGCAGTCGCATACGCTACCTACTGCACCAACGAGGCAGTATGGACAAGATTTAGAAAAAATCTTTTTTTTTATTAATTACTCGAAAATCTTACAATGATCAACAGCCTTTTACAGTCCACTACTGGACATAGGCCTCTCCTCACAGAGGAGGTTTTGACCTACTATCTCACAACAATCTTACAAACAACAAACAACTTACAAACTAGACCCAGCCGCAGGGTCCTTCTGGGCTGAAGTACAAGTTCAAATAAGCATTGAAGATGATGTGTAACTAAGGCCTGACACATTATGCTCACCTTCTTCCTATAACTGTCTGCCTTAGTGGGCTCATAGTCTTCGACGAACTCGTCGTACATAAACTGCAGGGTGAGGGCGGACTTGCCGACGCCTCCGGACCCCACCATGATGACCTTGTGCAGCGTGGGCTGCGCCGCCGGCTTCTTCGACATTTTGGCCGGACTTACGAGACACGCACACTGGAACAAATAAAAAGGGAAACTTTAAAATGTTATTGTTATAAATAGATGTTTCTTGTGCACCCCCACAGTAGTGGGTAAAAATAGTCCCAAGTGTGGGGTAGCTTTTTACTGACTGAAATAAATGCAGCACCCCACACAAAGCCAGTTATTGTGACAACATTTGTGTCTTTCTTATTCACATCTTAAATTTACGACTTATTAAGAACCCGGGATATAATACCCGGACACGTCACAAATAACACAGAAAACCCAACAAATCTTCTGTACAGTTCCTCGTTTAGCCGAAAGTTTGTAAAATAATTTGTTTAATTGCCTAGGTGGTGTAGCGCCAGCGTATGCGCCTGCTGTGCGGAGGTCTCGGGTTTGACCAAATGGTCCGACCAGGGAATCGAACCCGGTTTGTATGATCAAATGAGGGGGCAAATGAATGCCTGCAACTCAGGAGTGACCAGCGCGTTGCCAGCCTTTGAGGAAGGAGTACGCTCTTTTCTTGAAGGTTTACTCGTTTAACAGAAACTTTGGAAAAGAAAATTAACTATTTGTTTAATTGCTTAGGTGGTGTAGTGGCAGCGGGCTCGAGTTTGATTCCCGGGTGTCCGACCCCGAAATGTTTGTATGATCTGCAAATATTGGTTTGTTTAGGTGTTTCCTAAGTATAGTATGTATGTATTTACAAAAAAAAAGTATTCTATCACCTAATCTAGCTGTCATAGTACAAGCTTTGCTTAGTTTGAAACTAGATGGCGTTGTGTGTCAGATGTCCGAAAATATTATTATTATTAAGTTGTGTAAGTTATTAAGTTAAGTTCCTATGTTTTCTGGCATCTTTAAGTACTCCATGCTCGCCTATAATTCTTTCAGTTGAAAAAAAAATATGAAAAAATACTAAATAAATCTCTATCCGATGACTTCACGCAAACAATTACTGAACAGTGACACAATCTCTGGCTAGACACGTGGCAGGAGATATCACTGGCTGGATGATGTCACCTCATTGTTTAACGACACCCACGCGATCTTAGGGCTACACAAGAAAGGCTTGGACTGGCCGCGTTCTGGTTTACTGCCGCCTTTACTAGAATTTAATGCTACATTCTTAATCTAGATATAGATATAGTGACAGTCTATTAATTTACTGTAGCCGTTGCATTTATGCGTTTCTTTCAGAGAAAAAAATAGGCTTCGTTACTCCTTATATAGACATCTACTTGGTAGTAAAATATTATCAACATACAGATAGACAGACAAAAAAGGAACTCGATTTTAGGCATAGGTATCGAACTCAAACTCTCTTTATTTGCATACAATATTCAAAAATTGTTTGAAATCGTCTTTTATGTAGACTCTAAAGTCATAGATCAACACACACAAAAGCGACAATCTCTGTTTTGTCAAATAGTAAGCAAATAAATTTAACAAAAATCAAACCCATTCAAAATCTATGATATGCCTGTGTCGATCTACAACCGCCCGTTTCCAAGGGTTTGAGCCTTAGGAGAAGAAAGGGCAAACAAACTCATGGCCATATCGTGCAAATAACCGCGTGAGCATGAAAAACCTCTATTATTTTAGCATAACAAACAGACACTTCAATTTCATTTATTTGTATTGAAGTAATAGTACAGCATGGGAAAAGTGGCAAGGAGGATACACGATCTCTTAAAACAGACAAAGTAGTTTGATATGAGAATTAATTATTTCCTATCAACCAAAAGATAATTAAAATTTAATGATAATAATTAGTCATTATATAGTTTCTTATGAGCCTTTCTTGTAAATGTCATATCATTATTGATGTGTAAAAAAACCACATCAATAATGATATTAAATGTCGACATTTTTACATTAACCGTATAAGGATAGATGTTAACGAACAATGGTCCATACACAGGTGGCAGTCTTTGGTACAACTAGGTACATTTATTATTTAATAGCTGACCCAAAAGATGAGAGTGGAAAATATAAACTTTACTTGAAAATTCCGCAAAGTTTCCCAATACTTTTTTATCTTCTAACTTAATCTTAGCTGTTATTAAAATGTTGAAATAAATTTGCATAATCGGCTCAGCTGTTCTCGTTCATAAAGTGATGTGCATAACAAAAATGGGCATTTTTTTTTACACAGGTTAATAGACTAGAGATTGACAAAAGAGTATTGGTAAACTCAAACTCTCTTTATTTCATAAAATTTTCAAAATTGAAATCGTCTTTTATGTAGACTCTAAAGTCATAGATCAACACACACAAAAGCAACAATCTCTGTTTTGTCAAATAGTAAGCAAATAAATTTAACAAAAATCAAACCCATACAAAATCTATGATATGCCTGTGCCGATCTACAACCGCCCGTAAAGTAAAGGTAAAGTTCGTTTATGGCCAGGAAATGCCAAATCTCATTGGGACAATACTAGTTTCAGATGAGATAAGGGGAAAAAGGGTAAAATGGTGTAAGGAAAACGAATAGGGTGACGAAGGCAGCGTAAGTGGAACCGCAAGTCTCCAGAAACGGGACTTACTCGTATACTGCAGTAGCTGAAATACACCTGGGCCCCGCTATTTCAATATTGTATCAATAGAGTGTCGATGGAGTGTCGTCGGAATAGTTTGGCACTTTTCGTAAAAGACTAATATGACTTGTCTCTGATACAAAATGTTTTCGATGTCTGTTCAATAGTTTGCTAAACGGTAGTCTACAAGTGTTTGACAGAATTGACAGGTGTTTCAATGACACCACGATGGCTTCAGAGTGAATAATATTGTTGTTAAACTATCATTGCTGGTTCGAAAACCAGTATGCCTGTCCAGTGATTAGAGACGCCACTAGGCCAGACTACAAATTATTCACTTATAAGTGTATTTATGGTGGTGGATTAACTAGGCGGCCTATTCAACGAGGCTATAAATTAAGGCCCTGGTTTTTTTAATGGGCTTATTTTCTATACACGTACATAATGTCTTTACATTTAACATAATATTTTTTTATATGGCTAGTTAAGTGGGTATAAAACACATTTTAAAATGGTAACGTGTCATTGGTTTTTCTATTATTACATTTTTCGTATATTATGTAACTGCTTGCTGATTGATACATTATACCTAGATATAATGCATAATAGGATAAAAAAAAACAATATTGCCAGGCGCGTATTTTTAAACACCACGATCTTCTATGCTAAAATTATAAAGTGGTAGTCTGCGGACCCATTCAATTTAGTATTTTACTAGCTGACCCGCGCAACTTCGTCTGCGTCTCTCAATAGTAATAAATTTTCTCCGTTTTTGAAACATTCTTCATTGGAGCTCCGCTCCTATTGGTCTTAGCGTGATGATATATAGCCTATAGCCTTCCTCGATAAATGGGCTATCTAACACTGAAATAATTTTTCAAATCGGACCAGCAGTTCCTGAGATTAGCGCGTTCAAACAAACAAACAAACTCTTCAGCTTTATAATATTAGTATATTTATTAAAAAAAATAGCTCACAGGCCGGTAGTCTGTGCTCTTATGTTTTTTTGATAACCGTTAGATCAGTCAAAACCTTATCAACAAACAACAATACACCATTTATTATTCACCGATAAACATGATAATTAATAATGATTCAGATATATATTATCTAAGAACAGAATAATTATTTAATAATCTTTAAATCCTGTATTTTATCTGATTGGCAAATTATCACTGTAGCCAAAGAGCGGATTCGCTGAGTTGGTACTTTATGCTCGTACATAAAGATGTACAACAGTATAAAGTACAACTCAGCGAAGCCGGCAGAAATATGAACCAGAAATGGGTTCCATAATCGATAAATAGTTGGGCGATGAGCGCGATCATTCATTCTGTGTCTGGGTGTCAATCGTCCACAATATGTACTCCCGACTATACAGATGGCATAGTAGTTACCTCGCCGCTTTCTACTGCGCTGAGTGTTGTGGGTCCGATCCCCACATGGGACAACACTTTGTGTGATCCACAAATTATTGTTCTGAGTCTGGGTGTCCTTTGTGTCCGTTTCATGTATGTTTGTAAAGTCCCCCGCGACACGGGATTTATTCCAGTAGTTGTATTTTTTAAAATAAATTCAGAAATATGTAAGCATATTTTAAAGCAGTCTGATTACCATATATACAGGCTATGTCTATTATAACATCAGACGGTCGCGTAAGATTTTTCAAGTTATTATAATTACAACAGCCTCGCTGCGATCCGTTTTATTTTAACATATTGGCATCATTTTAAGCGATATAAAACTAAGCAGAGCTTGTACTATAAAAGCTAGATCAGTCAATCTAGCTTTCATAGTACAAGCTCTGCTTAGTTTAAAACTAGATGGCATAGTGTGCTATATGTCCCAAATATTAATTTATTTACTTTGGCATCAATTTAAGCGACATCAGGGTAATCACATTTGAGTGGGGGGAGGGTTTAAGAGCAACGAAGTAGGCTAGAGTTTGTTTGCCTTTTCTTCTCATAAGGCTCAACCCCTTGGGAGCGGCCCGTTGTAGATCGATCGACGATCGATCGACACATTTAAAAAAACAGATTGTTCATATTTTGTGTGTTGATCTATGACTTTAGAGTCATAGACAACGTGGGTTCCACAAGCAAACAAAACTGTATGTATATAATAATAAATTAACAACTTTCGGATTTACCGTTTACTTGTTCTGTAAGATCTTACTTATTTCCAAATTACATGTCAATAAGAGAAGTACCCTATTAGATTAACCTGTAAAATCGCCAACTGGGACGGTCCCACACCAAGTGTTATTTGTGTCCATTTCATATATCTTTGTGAAGTCCGCGACACAGGATTTATATTCTTAGTGCGGGAGTTGTCTTTCAAAGGAAGAATAAACAACAAAGTTAAAATCTAGGCTTTAATCGTACATGTATTTTGATATTTTTAAAGCTTCAATTCATCTTAATTTCAAATAGATACGTCTGTCTATCTGACTGAAAGACATGCCAGACAGACAGTATCTTATTAGATTTC